AACACTGCGTAAATGAGTAAAAGAAATACAGTGGAAATTGGTCTATTACACAACTTAACACTGCGTAAATGAGTAAAAGAAATACAGTGGAAATTTGAAACTTGAAATTGGTTTTTTACAGTCTAATTAGCACACTTGGTTTTACAGTCTACATAATATTTAACTCCCTCTATTGCATAATTTAATGATATAATAAACCTTTTATAAAATACTATATCAAATATGATAAAAAAGTTCCAAATTCTTCCCAATTATACTATTGTTGATATATTTTTTAATAATCAATTAATAGTAATTTATTTGTGTTCAATTTTAATGTTAGTCTGAGTTGATTATTCTATCACCATTTTGAAGCAGTGACATGCGTTATTATTTTAAAAGCAAGAGCACTTTATTACCACCTATTATGTGTCAACACTAATGTATTGACCATTATCACATTCTATCATTTAAAAAGCTAAAAATATTACTTAAGGGATTGACCATTATGTAATCAAGGGGAGGATTGCAGGAATGTATGTCGCATGATACAAATTTTTTTGTAACGACCCCTGCACACAGTTTTTTCATTCATTAATGAATGAATGAATTAATTAATTAACTTTATTTATCCACGGTAAACGACTCAGTTACACTGCTTTTCAGGCATGCCGTGCTTTCTTTTCTGAAAGGAGAGGTTGCACCATATTGTTTTCATAGGTCAAGTACTTCCTGGATATTTTTGGAGGGATTTAATGGTCCATCCTATTCTCCCCCACAGCCGCTTTCAGTGTCGTCACGCAACGCTTTCTCCCCGTTGCGTGATGACACTGAAAGCATCTGTGGGGGACTTAATGATCCATCCCTAATGGCCAGGAACAAAGACCAGCCACATAAGAATGAAAAACATGTCGCTAGTCATGTGACTGGTAGCCCAAGAGGCATTTGGACAGTAAAGTGCAAATATTGGTCAACCTCTATTAACAGGTTGCTATTGTTAACCCTGGTTTAATACATATATACATGTCCGCTGGGCATAAATGATGTTAATAATATGATTTATCTTTTTAGTCATATCATGAAATATTTAGCATTGATTGGTAAGCCATACATTGTTGATCCCCTTTTCCCATTCACCAAACAAATTATATACGAATTTTCAAAGTATATCATAAATACATTGAATTTCACTGTAATTATAATTTTCCATCAATATTCAAAATACATTTGGTTTGGCCTACTCAGATGGTTCTGGATCCCTAAACCCTGCACTGTGTAACTCTTTCCCTGTTACTTCCAAGAATGCCTTGGCTTCAACCTCTGTGTCTAAGACACTTCGCTGCCATAGCTGTGAACAAATTGGATGATGGAGAATCAACTTTGACTTATGAAAATAAAGAAATACTGATATAGAAATATTATGGCAGCATTAGAAGCTTAAGTATTACTGCTGAGCAAAGTAAC